CCCTCACCTCACCTGATACTACGTTCTCGACACTTCTAAATAAACAAATATTAAACACAAGTATGTACATCTTCATTCCTTCCTTTAACCTTATTTACTAAAGTGATAGTATAGGAATAAAAAAATGATATAGACCAGCAAGGACAGACAGTAAGAAAACCAATGACTGTAGACTAGATAGCAGTAGAACTTTGGAAGATGGCCAAGTAGCAACTGATTTAGTCAGGGGAAGTGGGGAAAAGCCTGCAATTTGACTGCTCGTGGAGGCGAGGAATAGAGAAACTGAAAAGAAGTAAGCCATTTGACACTGCAGAACCATGGAAAGGATGAGGAATTAAAAGTGCCAGATATTTCTAATGGCATGTGTGCAGGGTGGGGCTAAAAACAGGCAGATTGGTTGACAGTTTGTAGAAAGATTGAAACTTCTCTACTTGCGCTGCCCACCTCCTTACTCCAACAGAAGAGAGTCACCTTTGAATCAAGGAGGCTCTGGACATGAGAACATCAAGCAGCTATGAGGACAGGAATAAGGGGCCATATTTAAAATAGGATGAAATAAAGGAATGAGCAGTGAGATCCTCAGCCCTCTTATAGGCTTATACCTCTGAAACAGAATAGTGGAAGAGCCTTCTCTTGGAGAACTGATCCACCAGAGAAAAGACTTAACAGATACTGACAATCTTTAAGCAAATATCCAGCTTCCTTCTTGTGTGTGTGCATGCACACATGTTTGCAACTCTCATTCTTTGGTATGAATGTATAGTCAAGAGATCAGCAGAAATTTGAAGAAAGCCCGAAAAATAGAGACTAAAACCAATAGGACAAAAGAAATCAGAGAAATAAAACAGTAATTACGATTTAACTATTTTATATTATATTATATTGTATTATATTTATATACAATATAATATATTTATATAAATATAAATATATTTATATAATACAATATAATATAATATTTACATGTAACAATATAATAATATGTTATATAATTATTAAATATGTAATATAAACACATTTACATTATATTATAACTATAATATTCATTGACCAGCAGTTGTCACACTTGTTTGTACATTAGAATCAACTGGGGATTTTATAATTCCCATCCTGGCCACACCGTCCACTTTGGTAACAACCATCACCTGGTTCTCTATATCTATGGGTCCTTTTCTGTTTTGATTTATTTTGTTGTTGTTGTCTTTTTTTTTTTTTTAATTCCACATATAACTGCTATCGTACAGTATTTATCTTTCTCTGACTTATTTCACTTATAATACTTTCTAGGTACATCCATGTTGTCACAAGTGGCAAGATTTCATTTCTCTTTTATGGCTGAGTAATATTCCATTGTAGGTATGTACCATCTCTTCTTTATCCATTTATCTGTTGATAGGCATCTAGGTTCCTACCATAGCTTGGCTATTACTAGTAATGCTGCAGTGAACATGGGAGTGCAGATATCTTTTTGAATTAGTGTTTTTGTTTTCTTTGGATAAATACCCAGAAGTGTAATTGTGGGATCACATGGCAGCTCTATTGTTAATTTTTGAGGGGAATCTCCATACTGTTTTCCATAGTGGCTACACTAATTTACAGTCCCATTGTATAGTCAAGAGATCAGCAGAAATTTGAAGAAAGCCCGAAAAATAGAGACTAAAACCAATAGGACAAAAGAAATCAGAGAAATAAAACAGTAATTACGATTTAACTATTTTATATTATTGGTTTTAATTTGCATTTTCCTGATTAGTGATGTTGAGTACCTTTTTCTGTCTGTTGGCCATCAGTATGTCCTCTATGGAGAAATGTCTATTCAGGTCCTCTGCCCATTTTTTAATTGAATTGTTTGTGGGTTTTTTTTTTTGGTATTAAGTTGTATTAGTTCTTTATGTATTTTGGATAGTAACCCTTTTTTCAGATGTATCCTGTGCAAAGATCTTCTCCCATTCAGTAGGTTATCTTTTCATTTTGATGATGATTCAACTGATTAATTAATTAAATTACAATTTCTGGAGGTAGGATACAGGAAGTTGTATTTTTTAAAACTCTTCAGATTATTTCAATATACAGACAAATTTGTTACAGAGAGATAAGATTCCACATTCAGGATATAAGATTAGGAAACTTACAAAAAGAACATGAAATATAGCAAGAAGATATAACAATTATAAACATTTACACACCTAATAACAGACCTTCACAAAATACGAAGCAAAAGTTGACAGAATTGAAAGGAGAAATAGACACAGTTCTACAATAAGAGCTGGACACTTCAGTACCCCACTCTCAATAATGGATAGAACAACCAGACACAAGTAAGGAAATAGAGGACTTGAACAACACAATAAACAGCTACATCTAATGACATATACAAAACACTCCACCCAACAACAGTAGGATACACATTCTTCTCAAGTGTACGTAGGACATTTTACAGGATAAAACACATTAGGTTGCAAATTAAGTCTCTGTAGATTTAAATAGATATTATACAAAGTATCTTCTCAGACCACAATGAATGAAGTTAGAAATTAACAGAAGAAAAACTTAAAAATCCACAAATTTGTGGAAATTAAACAATACACTCTTAATTAATGGGTCAAAGAAGAAATCACAAGAGAAATTAGAAAATATTTAGATATAAATAAAAACAAAACCACAACATACCAAAACTTATGGGATGCAGCAAAAGCAGTGCTCAGAGGGAAATTTATAGCTATAAATGGTTACATTAAGAAAAATAAATCTCAAACAATCTAACTTTACAATCCTAAGACCTAGAACAGGAAGAATAAACTAAATCCAAAGCTAGCAGAAAAATGGAAATAATAAAGCTTAAGACAGATGTAAATAAAATAGGTGACAGAAAAACAATAGAGAAAATTGACAAAACCAAAAGTTGGTTCTTCAAAAAGATGAACAAAATTGAAAAGCCTTTAGCCAAATTGTCTAAGAAATAAAGAGAAGACTCAGATAACTAAAATCAGAAATAAAAGTGGGGATATTACTATCAATTCTACAGAAATAAAAAGAATTAGGAGTACTATGAATAACTGTAGACAACAACTTGGATAATGTAGATGAAAAGGACCTACCACAACTGATGAAGTGGAACATTTAAAAGACCTGTAACTAGTAAGAAGATGAAATCAGTAATCAAAATTTAAAAATCAGAGTAAAATATACATAAAATTACATTCACCATTTAACCACTTTTAAAATACACTTCAGTGGCGTTAAGTCCACTCACATGATTGTGCAAGCATCACCACCATCACCACTATTTAGCTTCAGAACGAACCTTTTCGTCATCCCAAACTGAAACTGTACCCATTAAACAATAACTCCTGCCTCTCCCTCCCCCTCCACCCAGCTTCTAGTAACTTCTGTCTCCTGTCTATGAATTTGCCCATTCCAGGTACCATGTAAGTGGAATCAAACAGGATTTGTCCTTTTGTATTTGGCCTATTTTTCCTAGCATGTTTTCAGAGGGCATCCATGTTGTAGTGTGTGTCAGAATTTCCTTCCCTTTTAAAAGGCTGAGTAATATTCCAGTGTATACATGTACTATATTATCTTTATCCATACATCTTTTAATGGACATTTGGGTTATTTCTACCTTTTGGCTATTGCAAATAATGCTGCTATTAATATTGATGTACAAATAACTGTTTGAGTCCCTGTTTTCAGTTCTTTTGGGAATTGCTGGATCATTAGCTTTAACTTTTGGAGAAGCTGCAATACTGTATTCCACAGTGGCTGCACATACCCACCAGCAATGCGCTAAGCTGAACATTAATATTTACAAGTTCATATTAAAGTCTGTTGTGTCTGGAGGAATTCGGTAAAACATAGTCTAGGAGGGAAAATACAACTAGAGGTATGTCTACCCAAATGTCGGACAGCTGTACATCCCAGGTCAAGGTAACAAGCAACCTGCCTTTCATCAGAGGATAAAGATTAAAGATTTACTATACTGAAGTATATTAAAATTTGGTGTTCTTTCCCAGGAAAAAGAGAACTGTCGTGTCAGGAGCATTAGTAGTGCTGAAAACTCTACGATCCTCAGAAAGACCAAAAAGCTTTCAGAATATCAGAGGAACTAGATCAGGGATCCCCTCTCAATACTTTACTATGAAAATTGTCAAATAAAAAGATTTTGGAAGAAATGTACAATGAATCCTTACATACCCACCACCTAAATCCTACAGTTAACATTCTGCTACATTCGCTTTATCTCCTATCCACACCTCTGTCTATTCATCAATCCATTTCGGTTTTTGATACATTTCAAAATAAGTTGCAGAGATCAGTGTACTTTACCCCTAAATACTAGAATGCATATAATTAACTAGAATTCAGTATTTATTTATGATTCTTTTGTCAAGTGAAATTCATACATAGTGAAATGTACAAATCAAATTATCATTTGAATTTTTAAACTAAAACTTTGAGATAGAATTCACGTCATAAAGTTCACCCTTGCAAAATGTACAATTCAGTGGTTTTTGGTCTATTTGCAAAGCTGAGCATTGTCCATCATTAATTCTAGAACATTTTCATCACCCCCAATAGAAACCCCATCTTCGTTAGAAGTCACTCTATTCTGCCTTCCCTCCAGTCCCTGGAAATCACTAATCCACTGTTTCTGGATGTTCCTATTCTGGGTATTTCATATAAATGGAGTCACAGAATATGCGGTCTTTAGGATTTGGCTTCTTTCATTTAGTGTAGTGTTTTCAAGGTTCATCGTGTTGTAATTTGATGGGCTTTTACCTGCATAATAAGCAGGTTTTTTTAATCTGCATTTTTCCAGGAGAAAAAGTTAACTTTTGTCAAATTCTCCAATGAGTTTGTGACTCAGTAAAGGTAAAAGGAATCTCTGATCTAAGGGGCATATATGGAGACTTGGGACACTAATTTAAAAGTCCACTCCTAACCAAACATTAGCAAGGATGGGAGATTTGCCAGAAGAGCAAACCTTTCTGCTAAAGTAAGACCTTCAGTGCAGCTAAGAGGAAAGCACACAGGGCTCCTAGCCAAAGAACCATCAAGGAAGCGGCTCTAGGGCTTCCCAAAGGGAGCAGTGGATGAGAAGGTCAACAGAATTGACAGCAGGGCACCCTGGTTCCTAAAAGTTCTGGCGCCATGAAGGAGCTTACAAGCAAAATCAGTAGAGGCTGGAACGACATTCCTCTCAGGAGGCTGGGGCAGCCTTAGCCACTCTCATGGAGGAAAATACTGAAGAAGAGAGGCAGGGGAAAGTTGTGGCTGGAAAACCCACAGCTAAGCAAGCTAAGCCAAGCTGTCACTAAAAAAGGTATAATTATGCCTTTGTGATCCCCTAGAAAAATTTTTTCTTGAAAATCACAGCCATCTGTACTCCCAGTCAGGGCAAAGAGGGCTCAGTGTGGCTCCCATTCAGGGCAAAGGGGCTCAGTGTGGCTTCACCACAGTCTGGAATGGGGAGAGTCTGCCAAGTGACATTGACCAAGGTAGACTCAGTAGCTAGTTATATCTATGATTGCCACCAGGCACTCCCGAAGTAGAAAACACCATCCCTGCCACTGGGAGGAGTATAATTAAATAATTTTATTTATTTTTAAAGCTAAAAGATCTGAAGCAAAATGTTAAGACTCAACATGTTGAGTGGTAGGTGTTTGCTGTATTTTCTCTACTGTGTGATCTAAAGATTTCATTAAGAAACGTATCTGAAAGAATGAAACACATGTAACATTCACTCAGTCAAGTTTATTGAACTTACTGTGTGCTCAGCACCGCCCTAGGCAGTAATATGAGAAAAATCACAAAACAAGATAACAAGAGAAAAATATACTCCACACTCTTACTAATTTGCAGTCATTTTCATGTTGCTTTGTTAAGTGTTCTTAGGTCTTTGGGGGTATGTGGTCTTCCCCTTTCCCCATGCCCGCTAAAGCTTCTGGCACTGTTGAATTATGTGCCAATATGACCATCCCCTGAGGAACAGAGCATGGGACAGGAAGAGTGGCTTCCTGTTGATGATGCAGTCAAGGGTTGGCCAGGGCTAGGGTGCCATGGCAGGGGAGACATGCTGAAGAGGAACCCATCACCCTGGAGGGCTCAGGTCACTCAGTTAATCCCAGGAAGGCCAGACTTGGGGAAGCCACAGAGAAGGCCTTAGAGGATGTGCTCAAAGCATTAACACTAAGAAAATGAAGCACAGCTACATGCGCTCCTGGATACCACCAGACTTCTCACCTCTCTCTTTTCCTCCTGATCTTTGCTAACACCAGGCACTAGCACCACCAGAGGCCAGGCCAAAGGGGAAGTCTGGTGCCCAGTGAAGAAGTAGAGAAGGTCCAGCATATAACCCATGATGCCCAAAAGAAGGCAGGACAGAGGCAGCAGAGAAAGGGCAGAGGTATGTAGCAGAAGGGGCTACTTTGTGCTTAGTCAAAGACCCTGGGACAGGGGTTGGTTTCTGTGCAAAGGGTAGTTTGGTTCTATACAGCTAGCAGGGTCCCCCAGGGAATGAAGCTGCACAGCACGGGAAGGAAATCCAAGCTGTGCATGGACCGCCTTGGCCCCACACCAGGCATGTCCCCAGGCTTACTGTGCCACATGCTGTGGAGTACTGGCATGGGGCACAGAGCAGGCCCAAGCCAACAGGGCTGTGACACGCTTAGATGCCAGATGAACTCTGAACACACTGGGCAAAGAGCTCTTTCTGCCTGGATACGGGCATTACATACAGGCCTCCAACCTGAGTTAGAATAAGGGCTTAGGTCCAGCCGGCAGCCGTGGCAAGGACATTTGTGCCCCTGAGGGTCAGATCCCAATGAAACCATCATGGGGATGACAGAAAGGGCACCTCAGCTAGGGGGAAAGCAAAAATGGCAGTGCTATGGCCTCTTCTCACTGGCAACATGGCCAGGTAAAAGAAAGAAGCCTTGGAGGAGTAGGAGGGTGCCCAGGGGCCACAGCTCCCTCTGTCTCACTCTCAGCTCAGAGCCAGATCTCATCACTGCTCACACTGGACACTCGATAGCTGTAGCTCAGCACTAGGAGGCAGGTGAAACCTGCAAGGTCAGAGATGCCCAGGAGTCTCGGTAACCCTCATTCTTGGAAGTTGGGAGACCACTCTGCCCCTGGGAACTCAGAGGCACAAGCACCAGGACTAAGGAGCAGAGGAGGAGGGTACCTCAGCTGGTGAGGAGTCTGCTGGACTCTGGGTCCAGAAGTTCTGGCTGGTTCTGGTCTGCTGGTTTCTCTGTTGGGTGGCAAAGGGGGTGGTGCCCAGGATAAGGAGTGTGCCTGATGAAGCAAGGTGTCGCTTTTTATTAAAGGCACCTTTAAAGACAATGCAGGGGCAAACAGAAGGTCCTAGAAGTACCTCGGGAATCTGGAGTGAGGTCTTTGAAGCTGAAGGTTGGACAGGAGTGACATGTTCTCTTGTGACAGATACACGCTGTTGAGCTTAAGGTTGTCGTAGTCACTACAGGGCAGATACGCCCTGGCTCCAGCAGGCAGGTTCCTGCTTTTGGGCCTGTTCTAGAGCAACTGCAGATTCCCACCTATCCCCGTGCTGCATCTCCATTCAGCCCATCCACTCAACCCCAGAAAGAGTTACCTAGAGATCAGAGATGGGTACTGGGACAGGCTCAAGGAGAAAGAAATCATGCCACTGTTCTCAGTGTGCCCACTCACTCTGGGCTCTGCCCCACCTGCCCTATCAGACCGGGATCCTCAGGCAAGGGGTCTCTCAAGTGCCCAGCACTAGCTCTGGGACCGGGGTGCTGTTCCCGGTGCCCAACCTGCCATCTGGGATGGCCACACCTTGGGGTACTTGCTCTGCCCAGCCCTCCTTACTGCCCTGCTGCTCATCTTGACCTCATCTCAACTCCCCCAGCCACCCTCTGCCCCCACTGTTTTGGCCCTACCTTTGGTCTTCTCATTCCTGAAGACCAGGTAGGCCACCAAGGTGCTGAACGCTACCAGGGTGCCCAGGGCAAGCCTTCCAGCCACAACGATGCCCAGCAGTGGCACTTCCATCCAGGAAGTGGTCAGGAGTCCTGCATGTCATCTTTTGGAAGTGGTCAGGAGTCCTGCATGTCATCTTTTGGTTAGATTCCAAGTGGGCAGGGACCCCAGCTCTGAGATGAAATACTCAGTTTGCACTACTCTGTCCTCCCTGCTCAAGGTGGCTGGGACAGCTCATTCGCAAGGGCAACAAATCCTCCCATTTCTGTACTGAGATTCCACACTCACTGGAGGCTTTGCTGGGCCACTTGCTGGCTGTGCTCACCTGGGGTCGTAAGCGAGGCACTGGTGACACCCATATCATTGGTAGCTACCATGGACAGGTTGTGTGACAGGCTGTGGAGCTGCAGCTACACGGTGTGGTTGGTGAGCCAGGGGTAGTTCTGGGCATTCAGTACCAGGAATTTGGAGTTGTTGACAGTCACTGGCCCATCCTGGTCCATCCCGGTGACATAGACAGGTGGGTTGGCAAGGACCAAGGCAAAAAGGACAACCAGGAGGCCCTGGCCCTGAGCTTCCTGGTACTTGGCCCCGACCTGGACAATCTCCAGCTTAACTGGTGCAAAGCAGAGGCCAATATGCTCTCACCACAGCCCCTCATACTCCTTGCCCTTTATTCCCAAACCCAGAAGGGACCTATTTGGATGGTTGAGTCTACCTTATGTGCAGCATTTCGTAGTGATCAGGAGTATAAACTCTAGAGCCAAATGTCCAGATCTGAATCCTGGCTCTGCTACCCACCAGCCGTATAACCTCTGCCAGATTGCTTAACTTCTATGTGCCTGTTTTCTCATTTGTAGTATGAGGATAACACTAGTAATTACCTCATAAGATTATTGTGAGGATTAAAGTGAGTTAATAGTTGCAAAGTGCTTAAGTGTTGGTGAAATGTCCTATTAGACCACCTGCCAGGTGGCTGCTGGGGGTCCCTGGGCAGAGACCCTCTCTCCCTGCCTACTTCAGGGACACTCACATTGCACACTGAGGATGACAGAGGCATTAGCTGACCTGCCACTGCCTGGGTCCTGCAGAGAGCGCTTGCGCTCATGCTAGGCCAACTGGGCAGTAACAGTGAAGGTTCTGGTGCCCCAGAGAAGGCCTCTCTACCCACACTCAGCAGTCCTGAGGTGCTGGCCTCCTGCAGCTG